AGTATCAGTGTGGTCCTTCGGCTCTCCATTTGTTAGCCTTCACACCTACAGCATGACCAAGCCACTTATTTTCACAATTATTAGTACTGCACAAATATTAATAAACCATATGCTAATGTGAATATGTGACATATGAATATGTAATCTTCAAAATCTATTAATTAGGTCAAGCAATGGGATTTGATATGCTATGCAATATGATAAACCATAGACTGATACAGTTGGCCTGTATAAGCCGTGGTAGGGTTTCTTCAACTTCAGCCACTATCTTTTAATAATATCTTCTTTTTTAAAATGCTGTGCTAGGTGCTAGGGATACAAAGAAAGGCAAAAGATGGTTCCTGCTCTCATAGTCTAATGGGAAGAAAACAGGCAAAAATCTATGTTTAAACAAGCAATGGACAGGATAAATTGGAGATAAGAGAAAGAAGGCACTAGAATTCAGGGGAATCAGGAAAGGCTTCTTGTAAGTTGCTGGGACTTGAAGGAAGCTGGGGAAACCAGGAGGTAGAAATGAGGAGTGAGAACAACTTAGGCATAGGGGACAGCCAGAGAAAATGCCTAGATTGGGGATGTGGAGTTTCTTGTTGAAAGAACAGCAGGGAGGTCAGTGTTACTGCATGGGAGACTAAATGCGGTGGGAGGGGGAGGTAAGGTATAAGAAAATTGGAGAGGTGGGGAGGGCAGGTGATGAAGGGCTTTGAACCAGAGGATTTTTAATATTTTATATTGGAGGTGATAGGCAGCCACTAGAGTTTAATAAGGGGTGGGCTAATACAATCAGACCTGCAACTTAGGAAGATCACTTTGATAGCTAAGTGGAGAATGTTAGGAGAGACTCAGACATTTATTGCAGTAGTCCAGGTGTGGTGATAAGAGCCTGTATCAAAGTGGTGGCAGTGTCAGAGGAGAGAAGGAGGTGTATGTAAGAGATTTTACAAAGGTAAAATCCATAAACCTTGGCAACAGATTGGATATGGGGATTGAGAGAGATTGAGGAGTTGAGGATGACACTTGGGTTGTAAATCTGGGTGACTGGGAAGATGGTGGTACAGTAAGGAAGAAGTGAAAATTTAGGGAGTTCAGTTTTGTTTTGTTTTTAGGCAATTGGGGTTAAGTGACTTGCCCAGGGTCACACAGCTAGTAAGTGTCAAGTGTTTGGTCTGAGGCCGGATTTGAACTCAGGTCCTCCTGACTTCAGGGCCGGTACTCTATCCACTTCGCCACCTAGCTGCCCCTGCAATGCAACTTCTCTACCAAATTCCCCCGTCCATCATCATCCCCACTCTTTCACTTCAATCTCTCCCTACTAGCTGCTTCCTTACTGCCTACAAATATATGTGTCTCCTCCATCCTCAAAATAGTCTTCCTTGAGCCATCAAATCTACTTTTCTAGCTATAAGCTCTCTGCTGACTTCTAGATTCTCATCTCCAGCCACTCATTGGATATTTTGAACTGGATTACAGACATCTTCAAAACTGAGCTCCCTGGGGCAACTAGGCAAAAGTCATCTGGGTGATGTGAAATGAGCAGAAGGGAAGAAAGGGGAGCTCATGGCAAAGGGTCTCAATTTTTTCTGTAAAATAAGAGGCAAATTTCTTGGCTGAAAGAATAGGGGAAGGGGGAACCATGGGAGGTTTGGTAAGGGGTGAAAAAGTTTGGAAGAGTAACCATGGTGAGTGGGGTAGTGAATTGGTTAAGGAGGTACAAAGTGAGAACCCAGCTGTAGTTATGCAGCATAAATTGGTAGTGTGCCAAGCTGGCATGGTTTTGTGTTGTTTGGTGAGTTTCCTGTGTATTCACATCAATCTCTTCAGATAATTCCTATTTTTCCTCCTCCTCAGAACTGTCTTTCTGTTCTCAGAATTTCACTCTTTTTAAAATTTTTATTTATTTTATTCTGAACTTAAGAAATAAAGCAAGCATTTCCATAATATAGAATAGGAAAAAAGATGACTGCAGATGAAACTGCGTATCTATTACGTACAACTTGCTATTCCTTTAAGAAATATATATATTAAATGAATTTATATTAAATATTAAGTATCTATTTGTATTTTAAATGTGTAATAAGTTATCATATAACATAATTTTTCCCTTTTTTTCCCTCTGTTTCTCCCCAAAGAGATGGCTACCATTAAGACACAAATGTACACACACACACACACACACACGTAAAATCATTCTATACATGCTTCTATTTATCAGTTCTTTCTCTGGATGCAGATAGCATCTTCCTTCATAAATCCTTTGTAGTTAATTTGGATATTTATAATTGTCAAAATGACTTAGTTGCTCAAAGTCATTATTTTTTTTTCTTACGGCAATTGGGTTTAAATGACTTGCCTAGGGTCACACAACTAGTAAGTGACCAGTGTTTTGGTTGAAGCCAGATTTGTACTCAGGTCCTCCTGTCTTCAGGTCTGGTGCTCTATCCACTGTGCCACCTAGCTGTCCCTCAAAGCCATTCTTAAAACAATAGTGCTGTTACCGTATACAGTGTTCTCATGCATCTGCTCATTTTGCTCTTCCCTATTTCATGCAATTCTATCCATGTTTTTCTGAGATCATTGAGTTCATCATTTCTTATCATGCACAAAGAATTTCATTCTTAGATAGCACCAGGGGTGATTTCTCCTTTAGAATTTTAATTTTAGACCTATTGTTCTTCAGAATCATTTGAAATCTGCTCTCCCCAAATCGTCAATCATATTCTGCTTGACTTTCCTCTTCTCTACAGAAAGGCTTCAACAAGGATAGCATAGGACCACAAAGCATGGACAGGCTATGAACTGTACTGAAGGAGGGAATATTTAAAATGACAATTCTGGTTCTTCTCTAAAAAAAATAATAGCTAACATTTACATGGTGCCTCCTGTGTCCCAGCGCTTTACAAATATTATCTCATTTGATCCTCACAGCAATCCTGAGGTAAACAGAAGTTAAATGACTTACTTAAGGTCACAAAGCTATAAGTGTCTGAGCCTGGATTTGAATTATGTTCTCCATGATTCCAATGTCTAGGGCACTATCCCGTGTGATGCCTACCTTCCCCCATCTACACAGACTACAATCACTGTGTGCTTTAGTTTTTGAAGAGTTAAAATATTTAACTATTATTTGTTTAAAAACTAAATAAGAGTTAAAATATTAAAAAGAGTCAAAAACATTGACCTCTTCCTGGTTAATAGTGAGCCTCTTGGGGCTTAGCTAGGCTGATCTGCAGACAAAGGACACAGTTCTTTACTGGGTTTGTATGAAAACCCTTTCCAGCTTTATGGGACCTGCCAGTGAATGTGTTCTGTTGCTATTACTTTACCCATATACCACGAGGCTTCCAAGTAGGATTTTAATGCAGAATAAGCATATACAAGATATTCAAGAGAGGGTTAGATACCAAAGACATGAAGACAATCTGCATCTTGTCCTCACAGTGGGGACTATCTTTGGCAAACATACATCTTGCTGGCTTGGGCCTCACCTAATGTACTGGAGGAGATCCAGGGCAAAATCCAGGATTCCCTGTGGTTAGTATCCTCCAGATATTCCTGTTTATACCTGACATTGTGCAGACTGTATCAAGCCTCAAGACACTGCGTAATCTCCTGGACGACATCTGTAATCCTTCAGAGGAGCTTGTCCTGTCCATCCACACGGGGAACATGAAGCATATGAAAGATGTCTATTGCTTGGATTTCAATAAGCATCTGAGTAGACATCCCATTGAGCTCATCCAACACTATGTATATCTGAGACAGACAGTACGTATAAGCAATGAGCTGGGTCCAGAGTTGAACAGGAAGAGTAGAGGAGGCTGGAATTTGTAAAGCTCTTTTACTGACCCATTCTTCCCAGGAAAGCAAAAGCCCATCTTCTCAACACTAACATTTTATTGCCATTGCTATATGACAGCAAGAAATAAAACACCACCACCTTCAGTGAAATAAAGGTGAATATCACACAGAAGGTGGGTGTGAGCAAGCTATAACCTATAACCAAGGAGGAAAAACAGGAGTGGAGGGATCATCAGGGAATTGTCTGGCAGAGATAAGATGGGTTGGTCACATTTGAGACTGAAGGATGACATGTGGACAGCTAGAGTGTACTCTTGAGATACTGTAAGAAAACAAAGAAGGCATCAGGTACATTGGGGAGACCTCTTGTAAACTTTTGGAAGAATATGGATGAGTTTCAGACCTGAGTCAGCTGCAATCTGTATGAATGGAGGGAACTTCTAAAATTATGAGATCACAGATCTAGTTGACTCCTTAAGCATAGAGTACTATTATCTTTATTATTATGGCAGAAATGATAGAACACACAATAATAAAACAGAAGACCTAAAGATCTGTGCCCAAAAGCTGCCTGTTGTGCGTAGAGTGCTGTCAGGGACAGACAAAATATCCATAAAGAGGACATGTATCCTTTAAGCATCTTGCAGTCTAGTAAGTAGCTAAATCAGTCAGTTAATAAACATTTATTAAGCACCTACTGTATACCAGGCACTGTGCTAAACTCGGGGGATTTAAAAAGAGGCAAAAGATAACCCCTGTATTACTCAAGGAGTTCTTACTCTAATGGGGGAAACGACAAGCCAAAATATACATACATACATATATATTATATATTATATATATTTGCTATATACAGGATAAATAGGAAATAATTTTAAAAAGGGAAGACACTAGAATTAGGCACATTTGAGAAAAGGTCCCTGTAGGAGATGGGAATTCAGTTGAGACTGAAGGGAAGGCAGGGAGCTAAGTGGGCAGAGATGAGGAGAACATTCCAGACTTGAGAGACAGCCAGAGAAAATGCCCAGAGCTGAGATGGAGTGTCTAACTGTTCATGGAAGAGCCAAGAGACCAGTGTAATTAGATGGAAGAGTGTGATGAAGAGTAAGGTATAAGAAGATTGGAAATGTAGGAGTGGGCTACTAGTGCATTAGAGTTACAGATCAGCATACTATATTAAGGTTGAGGGCAAAGGTTATTAATGAACTTGGGGATCTGGGGGAAATGAACCTTCAGAGAAGAGATAGCATTTAAGTTGAGATCCATAAGCAAAGAGCAATGTGAAAATTAAAAATGGCACAGAGGTACTAAGGTGGGCAATGTTCGGATCATTGCTGCAATCTCAGGCTGTGTTTGCTGAACGAATGAATTGGGATGGATGAACTTCCTCAAGGAGAGATATGGAAACAGAAGCGAATGATTTAAAAAAAACATTTATTGAAAGCTCCTATGTGCAGGACATTGTATTGAACACTAGAGGGTGATGCAAAGCAGGAAAAAGAAAAAAGCATGACTTCATGAGTCTGATTTTCCCCAACGGAGCTCTACCTTGGGAAATGAGCGAAAATGCTCGAGTTGACTCAAGGCCTGATGGTTAATGTTTTAAGAGAGACACCAGTTTCATTTCTCTTATTTAATATACATCCAGAGCAGGTTGTTGGGGCCAATAAAGGACACAGTCCTGGACAGGGGGAGGAAGATAACTGTTTCTGGAAAGAGGTCTGTTTTAGCCAAAGACCAATCTTAAAAAGGGAGCAACAGAAGCACTCGGGAGGCGGCATTAGTGGGAAGGGGCAGCCAGTTAGAATATTGAACTCTCTGGAATAACACAAGACTGCTGGTCACCTTAAGTCAATAATGTCACAAACAGAATTAGAAGAACCAATCCACTTTGCTAACAGAGCACGGCCCCTAGGGATGTGGGCGAGAGGGCCAATCGATTCTGGCGGGGTGCTATCGCTATGGCGCTAGCACAACTTCGCTATCACTAGAAGGAGCCAATGAGAAAGAAGTTGTCATCTCAGGTGAGTAGGTGGGTAAACTTTGGCATAACCAGTTATCCATGTATAGGGGCCCCCCAGACCACAGAGAGGCCTCGGTTAATACCCCCCCCCCAGATAGAGGCAGAGGATCAAGGGTCATCGGTATTTCATCGAGTATGATAGGGACCTTTTACTCGAATCTAGAGGCTCTGTTAGATCATTACTGTTAGATCACTTTTGGACTTAGAAAGAATATTCAGGTGTTACAGGCATACTGGTATCAGACTCAGTGTAATCATGCAGATATCTTTCACCTTTCGAGAACCTCTCCAATGAAAAGAATCTATTTTGTGAAAAGATTTATTGTGTGATCTCTTTGCAAATCTCTCTCCAAAGAGCTCTTCCTGCTTCATTGCATTTATTTGGGCTCTGAGGCCTCACGCTAGTCCTTGGTAGCTCTAAAACTTTGGGAAAGTCTTTTACCCTTTCTAAGCCTCAATTTCTTTATCTTTTAAAATGGAGGTGATAATATTTTTACTATCTACCGCATCGGATTGTTTCAAGGAAAGCACTTTCTAAATTGCAAAGCTTAGATCAATGTGAGCTCATTATCATTACAGCTTGTTCATATTCATACAAACTGCTTTCCAGTTTTTGCATGTCTCATGTTGGGTATTTTTTTAATATGATTGTGTGGACATCTAGAACAAAATGTTCAATAAGCTTAGAGAGTGAGAGAGAGGAATAAACCATGATTCGCACCGTTACAATCGAGAGGTTTTCAACTATCGTGTAATTGAGGGCACTTATAATGAATCTGAAGGAAAACTGAAAAGTTAATTTGTGGCTTGGTGAATTAATCGATTTCTATGCCTTGGAAGTTCCTAATATTTCTATATTGACTGAATTAAAAATATTTGAAAGTTGAATGGAGCGTCCAAAAATTGTCCTGTGTCGTCTTCTTCTTCTTCTTCTTCTTCTCTTCTTCTTCTTCTTCTTCTTCTTCTTCTTCTTCTTCTTCTTCTCCTTCTTCTTCTCCTTCTTCTCCTTCTCCTTCTCCTTCTTCTCCTTCTCCTTCTTCTTTTTCTCCTTCTCCTTCTCCTTCTCCTTCTCCTCCTCCTCCTCCCCCCCCTCCTCCTCTCCTCCTTCTCCTCCTCCTCCTCCCCCTCCTCCTCCTCCTCCTCCTTCTCCTCCTTCTCCTCCTCCTCCTTCTTCGTTTGTCCTAAAAGAAACTTTTTTGAAAATGCAGTAAGATTCAATGGATTAGAAGCTTTTATTTTCTAGCTTTGCCTAAGGGTCAAACCAATTTAATATAAATTGAAAATGCATAATATCACTCAAAAACATTTATTAAATATTTACTATATTCTAGACCTTGTACTAGGGATACAAATTCAAATACTGCCCTCAGGGATCTTCCTTTCTAATTCAGGAGACAAATCTCTCCTGCTCTCACCCCCACATCCATCTGTTGTTGATTCTACCTTCTCAACATCTTTCCTATCCATAGCCACAGTTAAGAAAAAGTGCTGGATTTGGTGTGAGTGAAACAAGTTCAAGTCTTGCATCAGACACTTAATAGCTATGTGATCCTGAGTAAGTTCCTAACCTCTGTGCCTCAGTTTTCTTACCTATAAGATGGCCATAATAATAGTCCTTACCTTACAGGGTTGTTGTGGGGACAGATTAGAATTGTATTTATGAAGCACTTTGCAAACCTCTAAGAAATGTTCGTTTTTCATTTTTTTTTTTTTTTCGTTTTTCATTTTCTAGGAAGACCAATGACATTATGGGATAGTCTTGACTCATGGGTAAATTGGATTTAAGTAAGCCAGAGTGGCACAAAGTCTTCAGCCTCGCTCTTCCATTGAAGTCCAGTAGCTGGGCTATGGCCCGGGATCTAGTGGTTGACTGAGTTGTCTTCAATGTATGACCAAACTGTAAGCTCCCGCTAACACCTGCTTCAGCGGCCTTCTCGGCTATTGGAACAGATTGTTCTCACCTGCCATTCCACCAGGGAAGTCTTCCCATGTGTAGGGTAGACACCTTCCTAACTCCCTGAAGGGTTTGTGGCCTGTCCGTTACCCTCAGCCTGGTTTAACCTGCGTGCCACTACCATTTTAACTGAGGAGTGGCCGCTGCATGTGCTACAGCTTCTTGGAGCCACAAGTGAAAGTTGGGTGAAGGTAGATACCAAAGTTAGTGCAGCTCTGAAAAGGGCTCGGCCAGCCTGCACACCAGAGCTATATACATGCTAGGTATGTACCATATCTAACACATCCTCCTCAGCTCATGCCGGGACTATCGCAGTGACCTGCTGGTTGGTCTCCTTGTCTGCATTCTCTACTCTAGTCCGTCCTTCATTCTGCGGCCAAATTAATGCTCTGACCAAGTCTCCATACACACCCGTTACCCAGAAAACTCCTTTTTATCTATAGAACCAGATATAAAATCCTCTGTTTGGCTTTTAAAGCCATTCATAACCTGATCCTGTCTTTCCAGTCTTATACTTCTTTGCACTTACTCTGTTATCCAGGAATACTAGCCTACTGGCTGTTCCTTGAATGTGTCTCCCAACTCGCTGCATTTTCACTAGCTGTCATGCCTCAAATTCTCTTCCTCTTAGTTTATGGCCCCTTGGCCTCTCAGGTTTCAGCTAAAATCCCACCTTATACAAGAAGTCTTTCTGGACCCCTCTCAAGGCCAGTTCTGAGATAACTGTCATTTCTTTGTTACTTTACTAGCCTCTCTTCTCTACTACCCTTAGGGGTATTGCCTAGAACTTTCACTGACTGTATTCCCATTCAATTTTAGGAATCCAGTGATTAGCACCTCAATTCTATTTAACCATTTAACAATGGATTAGCATTTACAAAGGAACATTTACTTCAAGGATATAACAAGGATAAGCATTTAGACATTTTCCTTAATACTTTGGTAGTATAATCCCCTCTACCCCACCTGGGTCTTTCATAGGGAAGGGGATTAGGCTCAATTTAATTCCTACAGGGCGTTAGTCCCACCAAGTTCAAGTTCAAAATTCCACTGAGCTAGCATCCATGGATTCCTCTGGTTTCTTATGACTGCTAGGCTGTCTTCAACATCTAGCCTGGAATCCTTGCCTTCAGGATTCCCATGGCTTCAACTTCTGGGTCAGGGGCTCCACTCTGCATCTAGAACAGAAAAGGACAAAAAAACCCCCAAACCCTAATCCCTTTCTTAGGGGCCACATTTCCTAAATTCAGGTCCTATCCTGCCTTCCCCATTACTGTGAATGAATGAGTCCTTCACCCTTTGATGGAAAAACCGTGGCTCCCAACCACACGGTAGGCCAACACAAAAACATTCACACATCAGTTGTCCTGTCTCCCAGCAGCAGATCCCAGGCATCTCCATATGAGCATCTCCGTGTGAATGCCTCCATCTTAGGTTATTTGGGCATTCACTACCCTCCTCCTGTTACATAAAAAATACGTTATTTATATATATATATATATATATATATATATATATATATATATATATATGTATATATACACACATGTATACATATATACATACACACATACACACATACAAATATACATACATATATACAACTATATGTAAAACTATATATACATATATAAAACTAGGTGCTACATATATACACGCATATGTATATATACATATGTACATGTGTATATATGTATGTGTATGTTTATATGTGTATATAACCTCTCTCTTTTTCTCTCTTTCACTCTGTCTCTGTCTCTGTCTCTCTCTCTCTCTCTCTCTCTCTCTCTCTCTCTCTCTCTCTCTCTCACACACACACACACACACACACACACACAAATACCTTTTGCCATGCTCTTCTTCATCCCTATCTCACATGGTGATGTGGCCTTATTCCTTACCAAGGCTAACTCCTCTACTTGTTCAAGCAATCCCATTCCATCTCTTCTCCTCCAATAGATTGCCCCCTCTGTCATCCCCACTCTTTCGCTTATTTTCAATCTCTTCTCTTCTGACTCATTTCCTATGGCTTACAAACATGCACATGTCTCTCCCATCCTGAAAAAACTTCACTTTGATCCTTCTGTCCCCGAACTATCACCCTAGATCTCTTCATTCACAATAGGTGCCTCCACACTTTCTCTCCTCTAGCTCTTTTTCTTAATGCATTACGGTCTTGCCTCCAGTGTTATCATTCCACCCCAAATGCTCTCTCCAAAGTTACTAATGATCTCTTAGGTGCCAAATCCAATGGCTTTTCCTCAATCTTCATTCTCCTTGACCTCTCTGCAGCCTCAATTACTCTTTCCTCCTTGATACTTCCTTCTCTTTAAATTTTCATGACACCATTCTCACCTGCCTTTTCTCCTACCTATCTGAGTGCTCCTTCTCTCTGTCTCCTGTACTGGAGCCTCCTCCATCCTCTAACCTTAGGTATCCCTCAGGATTCTGTCCTGGACCCTCTTTCTTCTCCCTCTATACTACTTCATTTGTTTGGGGCATTCAGGGAAAACTAGCACCCCTGGTATGAAGGCTTTCCAAGACTTTTTCAGAGTTGTACATCCACCTTTGGTGTCCCCTTTCACCCAACTTTTACCTGGGATTCTGAGAAGCTGTTAGCATGCCCAGCAGCCACACTCAGGTAAACCATCTTGGAAGACTGGCTAAACCAGGTTGAGGGTAGCTGACAGGCCTCAAGCCCGTTAGTGAGTTAGGGAGGTGTCTACCTCAAGCATGTGAAGATGTCCCCCAGGTAGAATGGGTGGATGAGAACAATCTGTTCCAACGGCTGTGCAGGTGGAGTGCTTAGAGCTTGGTCAGACATTGAAGACATCAATGTCATCCACTGGATCTTGGGGCACAGCCAGGCATCGTACTTTTGTCCTGCTGCAGAGTCAATGATTCTGGAAGAGAGTGAGGCCAATGGCTTTGTGCAACTCCACCTCACTTAAATGCAATTCACCCACCCGTCAAGACATCACCTGTGATCACTGGTCCTCTTTGAAAACTAAGCATGAACACTACATTAACAACAACAGTAGGGTTCTCTATTGCACATCAATATTTCCCACTGTCAACTGTAAAATGCCTTCTAGAGAATGGAACTTTTCTGCTTCTTGGTTTGTATTACTTCTTGCAGTCTATCAGCAATCTGTTTTTTTTTTTCCTTTTTTAAAATTATTTTTAGGCAATTGGGGTTAAGTGACTTGCCCAGGGTCACACAGCTAGTAGGTGTTGAGTGTTTCGTCTGAGGTCAGATTTGAACTCAGGTGCTCCTGACTTCAGGGCTGGTGCTCTACCCACTGGGCCACCTAGCTGCTCCTGTTTTTTTTTTTCCTCACAGACAACCATGGACCTCAGAGACAAGGAAGGTTGCTTCAATATAACAAAATTCTTAACACTACTGCCATGCGGTCTGGCGGAAGTCCTAAACTCTCAGCTGCATCTGTAGCAGAGTTCCCTGAATATTCATTTAATAGCTTTCACTTCTTTCTTAGGACCTACCATAGCTTCATTATCATGCGTCCTTTGGAACAGAACTTCTGTGTCTACATTAACGTTCCCTCCATGGTGGTGTAGGCAGAAGTCATTGTTGACTAGTGCTGCCATCCATGTCTGGCAAGAGTATGTAACGTAGAGGGGCGGCTAGGTAGTGCAGTGGATAGAGCACAGGCCCTGAAGTCAGGAGGACCTGAGTTCAAATCCAGCCTCAGACCAAACACTTGACACTTGCTAGCTGTGTGACCCTTGGCAAGTCACTCAACCCCACTTGCCTAAAAAACCCCCCCAAAACAAACAAAACAAACCAAAAAAAGGGTATCTAAAGTGGTGAAAATGTGTCAGTGGATTGTTTTCAGGCCATGCCTGAAACTTGGATTCATCCGTATGGTCTTTGAACTTCTCGTTGACAACTCACTTCCAAGTCAAGAGCTACAGTTTGTGTAGAAGGTGCCAGATTTCACTATCGCCAAGTCCTCTGTTGGCCAATACCATCAGTTACATGGTGACCTTCACTCTTCTGATATGACTTCTTCCAACTCTTTCATGCTAGCATCTATAAATAGAAAAAAAGACTTACTTATTTTCTTATAGGCCAACACTGGTACATGTTAGAAACAACCGATGAAGTCTTTGAAAGTTTTTTTTTTCTTGCAATTATCCATCCACTGATATCCATTTGTTTTTATAGAATTTAGATCAATTTAGCCATTCTGCCCTTCAGTTTTGGTTCTCTTCAATTGCATATCCATGAGTGAAGTCATTAGGTGGTTCAGTAATAGCAGTGTAATTTTTTTTTTCTGTTTAGAAATAACATTTTGATTTACTTAAGAAATGCCAGAGCATGGAGAAGAAAAAATAATTAAGACAAATAAATAATGGCTTTAGAAATGTGGTAGGATGTAAATCGTATTTAGAAGATCATTAGTTTGGGGGTTTTGTTTTTGTTTTGTTTCATTCTGTTTTATTCTATGCATTACTAAGAAAATCCACCAGGAAAGGCTAGGAAGAAAATTTCCAAAATGAATAAAAAAATCTAACGATGAACCTATCAATACATTAATACAAAATGTAGATACAACTAAAGAATTATTGTTGTTTGATCAGTTGATATTTCAGATAGTACTATAGTCCTTTATCAAGTCCACTTAAACTTGTTTTATTTGCCTCAAGAAATAATTTGCATTTTAAACAAACTAGTGAATTGCCTGATTTCAAATTACGGTGTACCACTAACTTGGAAGAATAAAAATAATCGATTGTGTCTCTGTCTAGTTTTGGCATATGGGTGTGTATATACAAACACACACACACACAAGTAATAAGTTGAACTTTATTACAAGGAGTGACTACTTTCAAGAAATGCATAAATACATGAAAATTCTAATGACGTCCTACAATTTTCATGTTTCGTTCCTGTGTTTGGCATCATATAAAGATAGATTAAAATTAGACTATTATTGCATGTTATAGTTAAGGTGGACACATTATTCACCAATGTTGTGTGATTAAATAATTAGACCTGTCATATTTCTCCTCAGTGTAGTTACAACAGAAAATCCTCCAAATGATTAACACACTCAGATTTCTACATTTTAGTTATTAAATCTAATTGTATTTAATTTTTTAAAAATTTTATTAATTTATTTTGATTTATCAACAATCACTTCCATATGCTTTAAATTTTAAAAAAATTTTAAAATTTTTCTCCCCCTTCCTCCCCACCACCCTTCCCAAGATGGTATACAATCTGATATAGGCTATACATTTACATTCCTATTAAACATATTTTCACATTACTGAAGTTGTAAGTAAAAATTAAAACCAATATGAGGAACCATCAGAAAGAGGAAACAAAACTCAACAGAAGAGAAAAAAAATGATAGCAATTCAACTTCCATAGTTCTTTCTTTGGATGTAGATAGCATTTTCCATCATGAGGCCTCTGGAGAGGTCTTAGATCCTTGTATTGCTGAGAAGGGTTAAGTTTATCAATATTAGTCATCGCGCAACATGGCTGTTATTGTGTACAATGTTCTCTTGGTTCTGCTCACTTCACTCAGCATCAGACCGTACAAGTCTTTCCAGGTTTTTCTGAAGTCAGCCTGCTCATCATTTCTTATAGCACAATAGTATTCCATTACATTCATGTACCACAACTTGAATAGCAATGTAATTCTTAATATATTTGCTGTATTGATTGCCAAATTCTAGAAAAGAACTTAGGCTTAAAGGTTATTTAGAGCTGGCCAATTCAGGAGCACTTTTGCCTTCTCTGGGCCAGCATTCATATCTTGTATCATCACGCAACCCAAATAGTTGACAAAAGCACTCTAGATCTGGCCACTTATCAATAAAAAGTTCCAGATTAGCTTTCACTAATTGGTCCAACAGTTTTATGGGCCTCTTCTCATGATCTTCTAGTGATTTTCCAAAGACAATTAGTTCATCAAAGTTTACCAACACTTTCAGGAAAATCATGTCTGTGACAATTTTCTCCATCAGTCATTGGAAGGTGGCAAATACCCCAGAAACATTCTGGGGCATGTGTTCAAATTGATAACAAAAATTTGAATGAAAGCCACCTCTTTTTTTAATACTCCCAGAGGAATATGATAATTTCCACTGCTTAAATTTAATACTGAGAACTCCTGGCTGCCAAACAAATAGTCTAAGTATCTTGAATATCAATTCAAAGTATCAAACTCTTGGCATGGTGTACTGTTCCATTTTAGATGTTTTGTTCATAGTGCAGCCATATGGACACATATCTTTCCATTCTTGTTCTGAGCCACCATTATATGTGATGCACGTAGGTTGCTGGAGTCTGTGAAGATACCGTTGAGTAATAATTCTTTTACATGGCTTCTAAGGCCTTCCATTGGAGATAAAGGAATCTTCTTAGATCATTCCCTGAATAGTCACGGATCAATTATGTGGGTTCTGTGAGTTGTTCCATAGGCACACCCAATATCCCACTCATGAAATGAGAACAGACTTGTCCTACTGATCTTGTGTCTCAAGGGATCTTTCCGTGCTTCCAGTTGTGGAAAGCCACCAAAGTAAAACTCTCCAAATTCATGTCTGAGTTTGAAAAGTCACTGCTCTTGTGATGTTCACTGCTACTAGGACCTCTGTCCTTTGTCCGGCTTCTACACAGGCTGCATAGATGGTCCAGGTGTGCAGATGTTGCTTGCAATACCTGCTAGTGCTTTAAATAGCACTGTTTCCATTCAGTGCTGCCATTCCAGTTCGAGTTTGTGGATCTAGAGATAGCAAAGCATGGTGCCCACTTTCCTGTTGACACCAACTTAGAAAACTTCAAGCTTACTCTGAGGGATCTCAAATGTGGGCAGCTTGTTTGTCTTTTGGCCCATTGGCCCAATATATTCCTAGTCTTTTCAGTGGCTATAAAGGTATATTTCTCAAATGTCTCTCATAGAATTTCTGGAATATAATGGGCACTTGAAAGCCACTGTCTAATGTAGTATATTTCACATTCTCAATCTTCACTGTCGCCTCTAATGTAATATCCTATAAGCCCAAATGGGATGGACCCATAGGTAATGGATGATAAGGTCCTTCTTACTGTTTTTCAGGTCTGAGGCGACCTGGATCTTTTTTTCCTGCTGCTTGGTCCTTGGAATCTAGTCCCTCATATACCAGTTCTACATTCTCTGCTCGCATATAGGTATCACATTTGTTTAACAACCAGCTCTCCAGAGGGGCTGGTGAGGAAAGTATGCAGGACACACTTTTAAGTTTAATCTGCATTATCAAGATTTTCTCCATCACTCTCTTGAGTTTAGAAAATCAACAAAACAATAGATCACACCTTGATTTGTAGCATTTGCTGATTTCTGAGGTGTGATGCTTACAATGAAAATTTAACAACCAATTCTTGTGAGACAGTTAGAAATGGCTTGGGTACTCTCCTGCCTATACCCAAGAAGCTGTTCCTGTGCTTGGCCAGGGTTGGACTGTCCTAAGTTAAATCCTCTTTTGCACCTGGATGCCCGCCTTTCATCTTGATCACTGTGTCCAGCAGCTGATTGTACACGGAAATTAATTTGTGGCTCATGTTGAACATCAACCCGATGAGTGGAAACTGTCAGTTATGGCTGTGAATCATTTCTCTATGCAATTTTCCTAGTACAGTCTTACCCGCAGCCTCAGGATTTACTGTTTCTTTCTCTATCAGTCTCTTGGCTGAACATTCACTCAAATTACAAAGTCAATGGGCTTTTCTCCTTTGACTGAAGATCAGAATGAGTCAGGGTAGCATCTACTTTCCTTGAAATCCTAACACCACCACCCCTACCCCCTCCCTCCCAGCACCATGTTACCTTTTCAGGTTTTGGAGATATGCTTGTCACGTGATTCCAGGCTCTGCAGCCTTAGGACCGCCTGGATCTCAAAGCCGTTCTTTTAATGTTTTCCATAAGTCTATTTCTCATTTCTTTATCTTTTTTAAAAAACATTTTTTTTCGTATTTTCTTTTCTTTTTCTGCTCCTCCTTTGTGACTCAGTTGCTCGCCAGTGCTTTAGTGAATCAGTCAAATGATTAACCCAAATTCCCCTTGTCTGTCCTGGTAATTTCTTTCTAGACAAGATTTCTCATTTGCACCTAAAATATCCCCTTGACATGGGAGATGTATGCTTGGTCTTCTAGTCTTGCCTACAGGAGAGGCTTTTCTGTTTTTGACTTAAGAAAACACCTGTGTTTTGTTTGTTTGTTTGTTTTATTGCTGTCAAGGCTTCTCTTCTCATGAAGGCTTCTGGTGTTTTAGGTGAATTTCTCCCAGAGGAGAAGGAAATTGAAATGAGTTTCTAGATGTTGTCTTCTACTATCGGCTTCTCTGAAAACTGTGGAGTGATCAGGTGGGTCTGGTAATTCACAAAATGCCCACTGGGCTGACATTGCTCTAGGGGGGATCTCCTCCATGTGCAAAAGATAAAATGTTTACTTTTGGGAGAATTTGCAATGTGGAGTGGAAATACATTGGAGAGACTGGCACATGTGTAGACATTCAGTTATTGGTTCTGCTCTGTTAACCCATCATTAGAAGGAGCCATTTTTGTATGACTGCATAGCCTGAACTGGAGAAATCTTCAAAAAGGCTGAATCAATCTCAGCTTAATCTCTCTGAGTATAGTATCTTTGGCTGCATTTATGGCAGTAGTCTTTTTCTCTCAGAGTCTGGGAAGAAGCAATCTGTAAAGAGAAGGGCCTTCTACCCATCAAGGCCATGTGTATCTAAAATGGGTTTTAGTCTTTGGCTTCTGCATTTATTCTTTTCCATTCTAGGTGAAGAGATTCTACACTCTTGTGCATTTTGAAAGGCCAGGAATGTGAGTGCCTGGGATTTCTGGTGTCTGGGTTTTTAGCATCGGTGTTGAGAGGAGCAAGGAACAACCTTTGAGAATGACCTATAGAGCTCAGTCCAGCAGCAGCTGAGACCAGGACTCATCCAACAACAAAACTATATTTGAATATGAGCTTGGTGGGGCCAATGTTATGTAGGAACTGAGCGAAGTGGGTTAAGGGAGAATGTGTCCCTGAGGTGTTGAGGGGGAGGCAAGTGTACTTTTGTTATGGCTTTATCTTTGAAATAAACATCCTTTTGTAAGAGCTGATTGATATTGAGTAGTTAAATGGAACTGGGACTCTACTTACTAGCACCAAATAATGGAGAGAACATAGCTGGTGAGGGCTCAAGCCAAAGGCAGCAGAGAAAAAACAAATCATAAGCCTTCAGGGTACCCTAGAACCTGGAAGAGCAGATGTGTCTGGTCTGGCTTTGAGAGAACTGGCCAGAGCATATGCGCTATATTGCTATGAATTATTTTACAACCCTCTAAATCATTTATAGTTCTTTTTGGTGATTTTTAGAATGTTATTATCAAGAGACTCCTATCTGCATTTCTGCCCATAATATGAAAACACATTGCAATCAAGTCAGCTTCACTTTTTTTTTTTACTAAATTGAGCCACAATAATACCCAAAATACTAAATTAACCATTAGAAATGCAGAAAAGGGGGCAGCTAGGTGGCACAGTGGATAGAGCACCTGCCCTGGATTCAGAAGGACCTGCGTTCAAATCTGGCCTCAGATACATAACACTTACTAGCTGTGTGACACTGGGCAAGTCACTTAACCCCCACTGCCTAACAAAAAACAAAAACAAAAACAAAAACAAAAACAAGAAATGCAGTATTATATGATAATAACACAATGAATCAATAGCTATATGTGATTAACACATAGCAAATAGAAAATCAGGAAGGCTAATTAGTGACAATACAAAATGACATGCTCAGAATAATGGGAAAGCAGTTATGATAACTATGCTCATATACCAACAATTAGTATATAACTAGGCACTAAATAAATACCAGTTACATATGCACATAATCTCATGAAAACACCTGTTTAGTACTTTAATCAGCAGCAGCAGCAAGAAACACTCTGCATTACAATCATCCTAGGAATACAGTGGCAGAATTTTGGAAGAGGGACATACACTCATGGAAGACTAAAACAACAATACAACTAAAATCAGATTTAAAGATATCAGGACCGGGAAAATATAATTTCAGTGAATTACAAGAAAACAAAACTTAAAAAAAAACACGAAAGGTAAAAAGAAATAACATTCTTCCAAAATCTGCAAGAAAACCTGGGTTAAAATTTAGTTCAAAACCCAAAAGCACCAAGGAAGAGGACATTTTTCACAATGAGAGTGTTTCCAGTATCTGTGAAGCAAATCTGTTTAAAAGGCAAACTTAGTAATAATAATAAAGGGAAGAACGTAAAATATAATTTAAAAATTCCCAAACTATAAGAATCTTTTTCAAAAATTCTAAGCATACGTTCATACTTGGAAGCTCCTGGTGATGGGGGTGGGAGAGGTGGGGTGGTAAAGGTGTGCCACCCATGAGAAACAGGGGCCCTGAGGGGTTGGTTCCTTGCTGTTAAGCAACTTTAGCAGCAAACTCATTGACTTTGGTGCCAATGGACCTTTAGGCAAAAATTTCACCAATCTGTTACCTTGCATGGCTCTTAACTGGTTTCCTTAAAATCTGTTTATCTCCCTGGGTTCAAAAGAAAAAAAATCTGGAGTGTGACCTCAACACACACACACACACACACACACACACACACACACACACACACACACACACACACCCAAATACACTTTCATCAGCTCCACCCCATTCAGACTCTGCTAAAGGAGAAAAAAAATCAAACTTCAAAGGATTTGGCTTCTCTCTCAATCTTGCTCTGAATATTCATAGTTACCCAAATTTGTTATATTTCTTAAAAACATTTTCTTAATAACAGTTTCAGACAGATTAGAAGCAAGCTTGAGCAGTTAAAGGAATGATGTTTTCAAATAACCAAGCTGCTTTGGCTCCCACTGAGAGGAGAAATATATCTTCCCCCTCTACCCCTTCTCGAATTGGGTAAGAGAGGAAATAGTCAAATAGGTAGACAGAGAACAGTTGCCCTGATTCAAGAATGCAGTGAAGGAAAAAACCAGTACTTTGGAGGTCTAGGTGTCTTACCAACCCTACTGCCTGCTGGTCTGTCCACCTCCACTTGTTTTCACTTTTCAGTCACGCTGCCTCAGCTTTGCTCCGTTCGCCATCTTGCCTGGCCAGCACCTCAGGTCCAGTCCAGTCCAGTCCTCATTCACTGTCCTCTTCCCTTCCCTGTTCCCACATCCTGGCAAGCAGGTAGAAGTCCTAGCAACATGGATGCCAGCCAATATGGACTCTTTCTCCGTTCTCAGTCTTCCTACCTGACTTCCCAGTGGAAGTCCTTTTAAGGTGAAAAACCACAGAAACATGCCTGTCCAATGACAGGTAGAAAGATTTGACCCACCAAGTCTACATGGTAAAAGGCTGGAGGGTGATCTGTGCCTAGACAGGGGCTATTATGTCTAGCACAAATTTTAAACAAATGGAATAGATGAGTTCAATGGAATGCATTTTTCCTCCTAGTCACTGGGCTAGTGAGAATTGGCCTGATCTAGTCAGTACTATCTAAAACTAATTTTCTCCTCCTAAATATATCCCTTCTATTTAATTAAATAATAATTTAACAAACATTTATTAAGTGTGTACTACATGCCAGGCACAGTGCTAAACTCTGGGGATACAAAAAGAGGCAAAACACAGTCCCTGCCCTCAAGGAGCTTACAGTCTAATGGAAAGACAACATGAAAACAAGTATATACAAAGCAAATTATATACAGGGTAAATAGGAAATAATTAACTGAGGGAAGGCACTGGAATTAAGAGGGATTGTGGCTTCCTGTAGGAGGTGGGATTTTAGTTGGGACTGAAAGAAAGCAAAGGAGGTCACTAGACAGAATGGAGGAGGGAGCATTCCAGGCATGGGGATGGGGGAGCAGGCAGGGAGCTAGTGTCCCTGAGTCAAAGAGTACATGCTGGGGACCTTCCACCAAAGAGGATGGAGGGATAGAGTAGCCAATGTCCAAACTAAATTAGAAAAGCGTGCCAGCGTCAGTGGCCCAAAGATTCCCTGAGGACTAACACTCAATCTTCCACATCCAAAGTCAGGGCCCACGTCATAGGGGCATGTGAAAAGCAAAGAGTAGAACATTTCTAATTAGAAAACTGATGATCACATCCTGGGCACACTGCCCAGACAGGTGGAGTGGGTTTTCATCACTGGGAAGATTGAGGTGAGCCTTGTCAAAATTTTCTCTTTCCCTTCATCTCAGTGTTGTGCCAATGCTAAAGCTACACCAAAGCGGGGCCCTGACAATCAATGATTCAAGCATTCATGCCTGTGCAAAGTCAGAGCAGGCTCAAAGAAGGAGCAGATGGGTTCTTAGAAAGTTTTTGTTAAGCTAGCAACGCTAACCAGAGACAAAATGGAAAAAGAGGAGCATATTGAATGAGAATCACATTGACCACTCTTTCCACGGGTTAGTTACTGGCTCAACATTATCAAAACTTATTTCTGGAAAGTAGAAATACCTGCAAGAATGGAGGAATTCTGAAAGGACAGTCTACTAGTTAGTTTCATCTTCAGCAACATGGCGGAAGAGGTGGGAGGGTGGTTCTCCACCCATGCTTACTTAGCACAGTGCTTGGCACATGGTAAGCAGATGGTAAGATAAATGATAGCTATAATCATATCTGTGTTAGGGACCAGGAATTTATCACATTGGGTTGGACCCCTGACTTCTCAGAGTAAGAGTGGTCCTAGAAATCAAAAAATTTTAAAAAAATTAAATTTGATCTGTGACTTCCTTGGTATAGAGAACTGGAGGAGGGATTGGGCTCCCTTAGCCAAGGCTGATTGGCTCCTGGTCTGCAGTTTCCAGTCAGTTTTCTTGGATGTTGAGCTGCTAAGTGGCTTGTCTAGTCTTCTGCAGCCAGCCTCATGTGTCCAAGACAGGTCTTAAAGTCAGGTCTTCCTAATTCTAAGGCCAGCTTTTAAATCCCCACTACACCATTCTACCTCTCAAAAGAAGATTTAATTAAAAAAAAAAAAGGCAAAAAAGGACTGTGTGAATTAAAAACCTTTCCATAAAGAACCAATGGCTAGCACCATGGGAACGAAAAGTTTTCATTTCTAGGAAAAGAAAGGAGCTGACAAAGATTTTGAGGACTTCATTTAGCAGGGGACCTCAGCCACAGACAGATCTAATACCAGGATTTTGTTAGCATGAGAAAAGGAATCAGTGAGAAGACATCGAGAAGACCCCAGATGAAGACAGAAGGAAAGGCATGGAAGGATGTGCATAGAAGGCCGTGCCAGGAAATCAGGGTAGGCCTGTGTAAAGACTGCAAAGAATTCAGAAGATTTTGTTTCAAAGAGGCAGAAAGTTGGCACCCAGGCTTTACTGAGACGCTGAGAGGCTTCCCTTGTGTCAGCAGAAGTCCCGGTGTCTGACTCTGTTACCCGGGTATCAGACAGGCTGTGTTGTTTTTGGGGGGTTTGGAATCAGGATGGGAGTTGAGGGCAGCATTTGCCCAGCTGGGGCTGAGATCATTTGGGAGCTGCTATATCAATAGCGGACAGTGGTAAGAGAACCAGTGTCAGATTATGAACTGGGGTGGGTGGGGGCACGGCAGCAGAAGACAGCAATCTACTTTCTGCCTAATGTCAAGAGTAGAGAATGACATAGGATGCTAGGCAGTGAGTAGCGCAAAGGTGGCATCCAAAATGATTTCTGATCACTTCAGAATGATCTTACTGAGGAGCTTGGGAATTCAACAAGTATCTCTTTGTAAATCCTAAAGTGCAAAGAGGGTGGCCACGTGGTGTAATAGAAAGAATACTGCCTTTGGATTTAGAAGATCTAATTCCCAATCCCAACTCTGCCATTTGCTGCCTTCCATCTGTGAAATGAAAGAATCAGATCGGAATCTGTGGTGGAGATAATGTAGTGCTATAGAGACAACACTGGCTTTGGAGTCAAAAGACCTAGTTTTGAATCCTGGCTCTCCTACTTACTACTCCAGTGACCTTGGACAAGTTATTTGGCCTCCTCTGGGCCTCAGTTTCCTCATCTGTAAAACAAGAGGCGAGTTGGATTTGGTGGTCTTTTGTTTCTTTTTTAGTCTATTGTTTTGGTCTTTAAAACCAAATTTATGGTCTTTAAGTTTCTTTTAGCCATAAATCTATAATTGTATGATTCTTATTTTCCTCTTATATCTAGCTAGGGAAGGAAGGAAGATAACGAGTATTTATTATGCACCTGCTATTTGCCAAGCACTCTGCTATTAGCTTTATAAATGCTATCTCATTTCATCTTCATGTTAACCCTGGGAGGTAGGTGCTATTGGTATCCCCATTTTGCAGTTAAAGAAACTGAAGCAGGGAGAAGTTAAGCAATAATAATAACCTGAGTGCTTTACAGATGTTGTAATTTTATCCTCACAACAGCCCTGAGAGGTAGGTGCTATTATGATTCTCACTTTAAAGTTGAGGGAAGTGAGGCAGACAGAGGCTGAGTAACTTGGCCAGGGTCACATAGTGAGTATCTGAGGCCATATTTGAACTCAGGTCTTCTTGACTCTCTGCCCACTGCTCTATCCACCGTACCACCTAATTATACCTATACCAGGGGTGGGGAACCTGCAGCCTCGAGGCCACATGAGGCCCTCTAGGTCCTCAAGTGCGGTCCTTTGACTGAATCTCAACTTCACAGAACAAATCCCCTTAATAAGAGGATTCCAGCGGTCATCTCTGCAAATGAGAAAAAGAAATGTTGGTTTGGGACCACCAGAGGGAGCACTTGGTGCTAAGATTTCCGTTGGCAGACAAGGCTCTAAAAAAAAAGATTGTTAAATAGGACCTTCGTCTGGGGCTCCCAGTGCACTTACGGTACCTAGTCCCTTCAGGCTGGCCCTTGAGTCCCCAAGACCCCACCTTCAAGGCATTCATTTATGTGGGGACTTTCTTCCAGATAACTTTATGCTCCACACCCTGTGGGACCCTCTTCTACCAACAATGTGTCCTATTCCCTAAATGGAATCTCTACTAATGAGGTTAATTCCACAAATGGGTCAAAATTTTTATCAATTCCTCCGTAATGTGTTTCCATTTTAATGGGATAACCTGCCTCCAGTCTCTCCCTTTTCTACTCCATCCTTCACACAAGCTGACTGAGTAATCTTAATGCACAGATTTATTCTAATATTTGTCCCAGCCTCCAAACCTCCAGTGGTCTGGGGGACTACTGGAAGTATCATGGTGCAGGGGGAAAAGCAGCAGATTTACAATTAGAAGACCTGGGACCTGGGTTCAAATTCCAGCTCTGCTACTTATTATGTCAATTTCTCTTCTAGACTTCGGTTAGGTGGCATAGTGTTAGACGTGGAGTCAGAAAGTTGTTTTTGTATTGTTTCAGTCATGTCTGACTCTTCTTGGCCTCATTTGGGGTCTTCTTGGCAAAGATACTGGGGTAGTTTGCTATTTCTGTCTCCAGCTCATTTTATAGATGAGGAAACTGAGGCAAACAGGGTTAGGTGACTTGCACAGGGTCACACAGCTATTAAGTATCTGAGGCCAGATTTGAACTTAGAAGATGAGTCTTCCCGACTCCAGGCCTGGCACTCTATCCACTGGGCCAAATAGCTAAGTTTTAATCCTGTCCCAAATGCTTAGTTCTGTGAGTCCGGGCAAGTTACTTAGCCTCTTTGTGACTCAGTTTCCTCCTCTGTCAATAAGGGGGTTGGACTTGATAGCCTTCCAGCTCTAAATCTGTATTTCCTTATTAGTAAAATGAGAGAGGTTATCTGCAATCCCAAGAATCAAATCCAAACTATTTCAAATGGCATATTATCCCAATACATTGCCACTCCTGATATTACCCATCCTTGGAATGGACTCCTCAGCCTGTCACTCTTGAAATTCTCTCTGCTTTAAGGTTCAAATGTGGTAGATTTCCCTGGCCTTCACTCGGTCTGGCCACTCCTTCCTTTTCCCTCCCCTCCACCCCACTTCTGACAGCAGGCCAGTGGCTGTCTGCCAAGGAGGGGGCTGCTTTTCCTAAGTGTCAATCCAAGGTCCAACTAGAAAGCCCCCACCTCCCTCAGCCTGGAGCCTAAGGTGGGCAGTGAGGAAAGGGGTACACTGTTACTGGGGATTGTCAAGGCCAGATGAAAGAAGCTAGGGCTTTGGAGTCTGAGTTCCAAACAAACATTG